GAGGCAGGGGGCTCTGACCCCCTCCTTCCCAGTCTGAGTCCTGGGATTAAAAAAATTCCTCTCTTGGTGGCTTCTTACTATCTTGAGGCCTTTGTAACTTTGGGGCAATGTTCTTTCTAATGTCTTTTCTTTTTACAGAAAGCATACTAACTGTATATATAATTTGTCCCCTTCTGATTAGGGAACATCCTCTGGCCAAAATGAGTTTTCTGCCTGGTCCTGGACATTGAGACCATTCCTGACCCTGAGTTACAATTTAGTGGGCATGTGACTGAAGAGTTTCAGTCGGACAGTGGCAGTGGACACTCAGCAGCCTGGAGCTCAGACTATCCACCCTTCTCCCACACGACAATGGGCTGCAGCTCTCCCCAAATCACACATTTACCACCCACTCAGGCTGGGGGAAGCTCAGAAAGCACAGGGGCTCCCTTGTCCCCAGAGCCTGCCTTCATCACTTAGGCCACAGATGGCCCGCTCAGCACCGGCAGGCAAATAAGAAGAAATTTTCTTAAGTACCCTGCTCCTGTTCCATGCAAACACCAAAGGCAGATAGAAATTCTGCTTAGCATAAAACAAGGCTTCCCCAGGCCAGGTCCAGGCAGAGAGGGGAAGGTGCTGTTTCCCAGCTGGCTGCCGGCCTCTGGTCCAGGTGCCTCCCTGTCCTGTTGCAATGCATGCCTGGGGCGCTGGTCAGGTGGCAGGTGTTTTTTTCTAAGACTCACTCCATTTTCCTCCCTAGGGGTCAAGATGGCTGTGGCAGGCGTTAGTTTTCCCTGGCTGGACTCCAGCCTCCCCATGCAGGGCCATTCCCTCAGCCAGCTGCAGGCTTCTGGCAGGGGGCCGATCACCACGAGCTGGAGCCTGCAGCACCTTCCTGCAGATCAGTCACTGGCACTGCGACCTCTCCCCTGACCCACTCACAAGAGATGACACACCTCCCCATCCTGTCTTATGCAAGCTTGGGGGTGGGGGCAACAGGCTTTTCACCCCCAGCCCCACACCATGTGGCAGCAGGCTGTACCCACTGATCCCCCCTTCCGCTGGGGAAATTCATCTATTTAACCAAACCATTAACTTTATCCCAGGCCTCTCAGATCGCATTAGGTCATTAAACACGAAATATCCAGCCTCAAATAAATCAGACATTTTCTACACAATAAGCCAACCCATATGGGATCGTGTCCATTTACCTGACCTTTGACAAAATAATTTCCATTATATGACAGTGCAATGTAAAGTTTCACTTAACAGTCACTTTTCCTCATACTTCAGCACATACATTGGATTATGATAAAACCATTTTCCTGAGACATAGGTTTTCAGCTATAAGTTAACCATCCAGTCACAATTGTTCCCAAAGGACTTTTAGGTGGAGCTTGTCTATATTGCAACAAAACTTTATAAAAAAAACACAGACAATACAGACTTCTCAACACAAAGTGCCAGGCCTATCAAACAAATGGGAATCCAAAGGGACAAATGCCACCCTAAACTGCACCGCAACAGTGCCCCAAATGCCCTGCCATAGGGCTGGAAGGTTCACAAATGGGAATGCAAAGGGGATAAATGCCACCACAACTGCAAGGTTCAAAAACACTCGCCAAATGGGTAGTCTAGTCCCCTGGTTCCCTCGGAAACCATCCCCAAATGGCAGCCTAGCCCCAGCCCTGTTCCCATAGAACCACAAAGAGCTCCAAAGCCAAACCAGGTCCCCAGCTTCCACTAACTGCTAGACTTCCCTCTGCAAACAGTGCCTCTCACCAACAGGAAGGTCTGACTGCCCCCCACCCCAAAAAGGGTGGAAATAAGTACTTGGTGCCCCAGGGGACTTTACTTCCAAATGACCATGGCTATTGTGACATTTCCCAAATCTGTTTCCTTCCCCTCAACTCAATTCAGGCTGTGGGGGCTGTGTCAACTTCAGGGAGACTGAGATAGGAGTTTCCACAGAGCTATAAACACTCTCCAGCAGCTACTGGGATCCCATATTCTCTGATCTGAAAAAGAAGCCACCCCTCCCAGTGAAGACCCATGTCTTGGCCCAGGGCTTCTCCCTTGTTCCAGGATGCCATTTCACCAGGATGCCTATAGGGCTCCAGCCAGGGAAACCAAAATCGGTTACCGAAAGCTTGGCACTTGTCCTTGAGATCTCATCAGAAAAATGAGAAAAAGTGGTTTGAAGAGAAGGAAAGAGAAGTTTATTACTTTGCTAGCAAAGGAGGAAAATGGTAGACTGTCTTGTCTCAAAATCCAAATTTCCTGAACATAAGCAGAAACACAGAGCCTTTAAAGGGAGGGCCCCTCTGTTCTAGGCTATGGTGTTTAGCTATTCTAATCGTCCCATCTCTAACAAAGACAAAGCCTGTGACCTTCACCAGCTGCCTGCCTGGGAGGCTGGCCCGAGGGCCTGGGATGGCTGATTCCCAGGCCCCTCCTGATCACCTAATCGGGCAGGAATGCAGTTTCAGTTCTCAAAACAAATGGGGGAAGTTTTAAACCATTTTTTTCCTGCCATTCTGTCTGTTACACCTTCTATTATCATAAACCTTTGTCTCCCTATTTGCTCACTAGGATAAGGCATCTTTATTGACTCTTGCAACTGTATCAAATTCCCTGATTTTGGTCCAAACCAAGGGGAAAATCCATCATTCTAAATAACTTTTCCTATCTGCACTACCTTAATATAAATATCTCAACTATACACAATTGAACACTAATATAAAACAGACTTTGTGTATTGTATATGCTTATGAAATATCTTTCCAACAATGGATTGGAAAACTGAATGCCTAGCAGAAAATGATTCTTGAAAAAAATGATTTTATTTTTCACAAGAAAAATTACCTTTTTGGTGTCTATATATTTTTTCTTATAATAAAATAATTAAGTCATTAAAAAAATTCACAGTACTAAAGAAAGTATAAGAACAAAAGATAACTTCCAGTCTTATAAATGAGCCAAATAATATTGTTAATTTTACAGTAGCTATCCTCCTAGACTTTTACTTTTATTGTTGATTTATAATTTTTATAAATAGAATTATTTTATATGTACCATGAATTATTCTCAAACAATACATACAAATTTATCTAAAGATAAGAACTTTAATTCTTCTGGAAGGTAGGTAGTAAATTTTTTCATATTGTTAGTGAATTTAAAATTTTACCAAACAATAGTCCTCCTCATAAAAATTTAGAAAAGAAGGAATATTGTTTTATTATTCGGTAAGCAGAGCCAAGTACATGTCCATAGCTATTCTGTAGGCGAGTAGAAAATCATGATGAAAGTTCACATTATTTATACATTATTTATACACCAAAACAGATAAGATTCTTAATATTGCACTATTTTTGCCAGTATGTAACATGTTTCCTTAACATCAATGCTATTCTCTGTCCCCATAAGAAGACTTGACACTGAAGTTGCTGTTATATCCTGAACTTTGTTGTACCTTTCTTCATGTGGTTCATACTTACTTGGGAATTGAGGTGACTATTTGCACAGTTAATTGTCCTCATCTGAAAGGTTAAATAACTTTTCCTTATCTTCCTGAGAAGAGAGATCCAGGATAGGCACCTGGATTATGCTCCCATGCTGTCAGGGACCTGGGGATCTGTCTTTACGCGTGTTTACATTTCACATGAACTGGAGCCCAGAATCTTGAGGACTCCTCTGGGTTACAAAGCTGGCAAGGTTTTTGTTTAGCCACTGGAAGGTTTTATTTATAGTCAAATGGTTAGAGACAAGCCTCTGACCCACTTGTCTTAAAAAAAAAAAAAACCTGTAAAAAGAAGTTGGAAAAATGGGCTATTTTTAATTTATAAACAAGTTTTCATCTTTATTTACCTTTAAGTTATAGCTAATTCACAAAGATTAAATTGCCCTGAAACTATTTTGTGTGTGCATGATATAAACAATAGATTTTATTGTTCAGAAGAAATAAAGCAACTGATTTCCCAGCACTAGTTCTATTTTGAGATAATCCTACCCTACTTGTACTTTCGGTTTCACCAATATTAATACACACACACACACATACACCCCCTCCACTCACAGAATCTTATTCTCACTGTCCCCCCCTTCTTTCTTTTAGAGGCAGTTTAGAATAGTGAAATAATGTGATATTAAAGAAACAGATTTTCAAGTTTTAATCTCACTCAATGACTTGCCAGTTTAGTGTAAGTCACTGGCTTTGGGTTGACATATTACTTAACCTCTTTCTGACTCTTTTCCTTTCTTGGACAAAGGGAATAACACACACCCTATATTGTGAAACAGTATTATACTGTTTAAATGATATGTGCATCTGGCCTATAAAACAACTGACAAACGAGAAACATTGTTATTATTATTGTTCACTTAGCAAACACAGAGGTACGTTGGTGAGTAATTGTTAGCCTGAGTTTTGGAGTCAGACTTCTTGGGTTCAGATCTTACTTAGTAGCTCTGTAATTTTAACAAGTCATTAAATCTCTCTGTAACATTGTGGTAAAATATTTGTGATAAGAATACAATGGGATAATCTATGTAAAGAAGTTGACAGTGGGTCTGTATCAAGTGTGAGATAAATGGGTACTCTCTTCATTATTATTCATTTATTTATTACATGCCAAGTGTCAGGACATGGCTCAGATGCTAAGAATTCAAAAGTGGACATTCCCTCAGGGGACATCCAGTCCTCATCACTAAACACGAGTTACAAGATCCACTGCTAATGAGTGCAATATACAAGGTCACTGGATCTACAAATTATTACATGAGACTTTCTCATCCCCAGAATTCTCAAACTGGTACCCCCATAATATGCTGAAATAAAAACAATATATATATGTATATATATTTTAAAAAAACATTATTTTAAAAGATCCAAGGAAACTTTTGAGTTAGTAGGGCAAGCAGTCTCTAAGATTTCTCCCAATAATACAGTTGGAATGTTCTGATTGAGAAAACGTGTCAAACCCTCCCACCAGAACAGCTCTCAGAGAGTCTGTTTATGGTAAATGAGTTATTTCCTGGAATTACCACTTTCAGTTTTGTATCGCTCTATTTCTTTGCTTTCCTTTTTAATTTGTCCAATCCTCAGGTCTCTGAAGACACTCTGGAAAACCCCAAGGCATTGGAAGGGTAAAAATATCACATTTTAAAGCCTGATTAAAGTCCAAAACTCCAGGACAGATAAAGGAGGGTGAAAGGACTGCAGCCAAACTTGGAAGAGGGAACAGGATAAGGACTCCCATCCTTCTCATCAAAGCTGCATTCTTCCCAGCTCTAAAGGATCTCTGCTTACAGGTAAGACTGGGTAGAGATGCGAAAATATCCAGGAGTTTTTCTAAAATGGCCATCTCCCAGGCAGGCTGCATGAGCTATGGGACACAGGTCCTGATAAAATCCTGGTCTCATCACGGGGCTGCTTGTCCCTTAAGTGCCCTGGGCTTCTGCTGTGCTGAATTGGGCTGCTGCAGAGGTGGAGCCTGGACAGAGATGGGGAAGTTTTAAGGCTCTTTCTTGACACCATCTTAAATTACCTTTATTTATTAGTATCTACCTAAATAAACTCAGAATCCATCACTTTCTCACTGGCCAAACTTTATAGTTTTAGGTAAATAAAGGTAGGCAACTTGGGATCTTCAAAAAAAGGCAACAAGTTATTGTAATTAGGAGCTTACAAAATCTTTGTGTGGCCACTCTTTCTGAATCAGTTGTTGATTTATTCCCAGTTTATAGTGGTACACCTCAGCCCACAAAATGAAACTATCTGTGTGCCTCCTGTGGACCATTGTTGTTAGAGGCAATAAGTCCTGATCATGGAAAAATAAATGGCTTTTTTTACTGTCTCCCCCTGAAGAAGTGGGAAGCCAGATACTTACATAAGCTGTCAGCAGAGCAAATCAGATGTAGTCAGGTCCATGGCTGAGGAAAGAGGCTCTTCATGTTAGGATGAGAATGAAAACTGCAGTGCGTATTGTCTCTGTTTGTATCTGGAAGATATTATAAATTTTGTATCATGATCACTTGAGTTACAGGGAGTGAGACATTCAAGTTTGAAACACAAAGTTAAGGCATTACTACAGGAAAGATTTTTTACTGCTTTTAACTTTACAAAATTGTCAAATTATCAAGCCCTGGTTAAAGAGGATGTGCTTACAGTTGTGTATCTAACACTCCATATGCAGCAGAGTTCAAACAACAAACAAGCCTGGTTTATCAGAGAACGTTTCCTGATGGTGTCTTCGTTACTTGAAAGGAGTAATATGAAAGCAGATATACATGGAGGGAATAAAGACTCAATCTTAAAACACAGAGAGATCAAAATCTGGTAACATAATTGAGTCAGAAATCAACAGATAAGTGTCCGGGTTGAGATATCAGACTTGAGTGAGAACGTGTGAGTGCTGACCTGCAGCAAATATTAAGAACCAGTGAGTGGGCAGGCGGGATGGACGGTGGGAGCTCGGAGGGCTTCCGGCACAGTGAGGGGAGGAAGTTACTGGGTGAGCTGAGTCCCATGGTCTGACGAGATTCTGCCCATGAACAGATTGGGAAGAAACCAAGACCAAGGCTGGTTAGGATGGCACCCATGTTACAAAATGTAGATATACATTCGACATAACATTTCCCAGGTGAAGCCTCCCTGTTACTCTGTACATGGGCTCAGAGAGTTGAGCTTTGTCAGTCCAAAGATCTAAATGTAAACATGGGCCGGGCGCGTGGCTCACGCCTGTTATCCTAGCACTCTGGGAGTTGGCCACCCTCCCAGCGCAAACTGGCCCCAAGGCAGGAAGGTCGCAAGGGATGTGGAAATAAGAAATAAAGAGATGATATGAGAAATGATTGAGATGGAGATGGAGAACAGTTTAAAAGATGGGGGAGTCAGGGGTTCTCAGCTTCCCGCCGGCTGAAACCCAGATTGAAGTCCCGCATCAATATTTATTGGTACAGTAAATAGTTGTCTTTTGTTAGAGATTTATGTATACAGTTCATTTTTTGAGGTTTCCCGGGGAACCCTACCTAATTCTGCCTACAAGAATAGATGGCTACACAATTTTTCTAAGATAAGTATGTTAAGCCCTAAAAGAAACAGACCTAGCTGAGCATGCAAATTGAAGATAAAATGTATAAAATGAGAACACTGAGTCTGTGTACTACTCTAATCTACTTCTTCTAAACAGAGACATGTAGTCAGAAGCGAAGCAGGAATAGCCTTGAAGTCTAGGTTAGTTCCAGCTGAACGTTATCTGCTGGGCAGGCATTTTAATCAGCTTCTAGGCCAAGGGCCCAAACTGAGCTTCTGCTTTGCAAAAAAGCTCAAGGCGATGATGGGCAGTAAGAGAAGAAATGTTGTTTGCAAATGTCCTCTGACAATGCCCCCCTTCTTAGAAGCAGCTTCTAGTCTGTGAAGTAATTGTCCACACATTCCTTCAAGGCAAAGCCCTGCAAAACCCCTGAAACTTCTCATGTCTCTATTTCCCAACAAACACTGGCGGATCGTCTAAGCTCAGGAGTTTGAGACCACCCTGAGCAAGAGCATGACCCTGTCTCTCCTAAAAAGATAGAATTATCTGGACAACTAAAAAATATCTATAGAAAAAATTAGTCGGGCATGGTGGCACATGCCTGTAGTCCCAGCTACTCTGGAGGCTGAGGCAGGAGGATTGCTTGAGCCCAGGAGTTTGAGGTTGCTGTGAGCTAGGCTGATGCCATGGTACTCTAGCTCAGGCAACAGAGTGAGACTCTGTCTCAAAATAAATAAATAAATAAATGTAAACATGAAAAGTTTCCAAAGGAAATTTTGGAAGTAAGTCAGAAGATGTGAGACACCTAGAAAAAATTATATTTTCTGGAAAATGAGATTCAAAATGAGCTGGTGTGGTACAACCTGAAACAACCTCTGGGTAGGAATTTCATAACACCTAACACAACAATACACTCACACATTTTGACCCAGCAATCTCACTTGTAGGACTCTATCCTGAAGTTACTTCAGCAACACTATAAAAATACGCATGCATATAGTTAGTAGAGGTATTCATTGCAGCCTTGTTTGTAATTGAAAAATATTAGAAACAATTTGAATGTCCACACATAAACGAGTGATTCAATAAACTGTGGTAGAGCCACATAATCGACTAGACACCTATGCAAAGGGTTGAGGAAGCTGTTTATGAACTGATATGGAGGGGTTTCCATATACTTAAAGGCTGTAATCTTCATGTTAGAAAATGTGAACGAGAAAATACACACGTTCATTTGTGAAAAGAAAATACAAGAAAGATTAAATAGAATCTAACAAGATTGGGTATCTATGGAGGATGAATAGGAATGAGGTGGAAAGAATAGAAAAATAGCTGGGATGGGAAAAGAGTAGTAAGGTGAAGGAGAACTGACACTTCTCCAGCCACAGATTTTTGTAAAGCTCTGACTTTTAGAACCACGATATTTCGAAATCTCAAAAAAATAAATACATACTTAAAATTAACCAACAGCTGAACCTAACTGTATTAGAAATGAATAATTTAACCACACAGAAGAGAATGGAGGAAATAACTAAGCAATTTATTTATTTATTTATTTTTCAAGCAATTTTAGAATGTAGTGTTTTAACTGTATGCATAAGCCTAAAGACAAAAAAAATGTCAACTTATTACATACTCTAGTTAGTAAATTTATTTTTCACAGTTATATATTAATAACTTTGAAACTACTTTATGTATACTAAAATTGAGTAAGTAAATATATTATGTACAATGATATAGTCATAGGACAGGGTTAAAAACAAAGGAAAAAAGTTTGAATAAATTCAGTTGTTTTGGATTGGAATTGGAAATATCAGAAGAAACTTGAGCTTGGATATAGAAATGGATAAGTAAAAAAGAAATGTAGATGTGTGTATTCATGTGCTAGTATATAAACATATATTTTTTAACTTTACCCCTGAGAGGGCCTAGAGGTAATGGACACACCTAGTATGATATGTTGGTGTCTAAGTACTATTATGCAATGATAGAAACCACAATTTTGGGGAGAAATGGCTTATTCTAAGGCTGAGTAAGGAAAACTATGAGAGGCACCTGGAATATATTTTGGTGTCAGAAAGCAAACGAGCACTGAAAATACATTGAAAGCATGTCCAAAGAACATGCGACCTCGCTTGAAGGAGCTCTCAACAACCAAACTCAGACAAGTTGAGTAACAAAATAAATAACGATAGAATAGTATTACCCACAGAGCAAAATAAATATCTGTAAGTCTACACCGATAAAACTAAATGATTGAATGAGTGAATAAAATAAATGGAGGAGAAGGAACAACTCTCACTCACAGTAGAACTCTAATTAATAAATGTGGAAGGAATAATAAGAATAGAAAGTTACCTTCAGTCGAACACCACAGTAAATAATTTATAAGCAATAATTATCAATGGGTGGTAAAAACAATGGCTGAAGAAAATATTAAAGTATGATGAGACTCTATTTGCATAGTCTCAAAGGTGTCTCTTCAAGTGGTACTTTTTCGTGAGAAAATGGTAGTATTTCACAGTGGAGAAATCTGCAGACAGTACATTAACAAAATGATCAAATGATCAAAGTTAAGATTGTAGCATCAGAATAAGTCATGTCAACCTCATGAATCCCTTGATACAAGACACTAAAATGGCAGAACATCACTTCTGTGGCATACTTTCCAAAAATACGTAACTTCAATCTAATAACGAGAAAACATCAGAGAAACTCCAAATGAGGGATATTCTACAAAATCACAGGCAGTGATTTTGTCAAGGTCATGAAAGACAAAGATAGAATAAGGAATTAGCAAAGAAGCAAGGAGACTAAGGAAACATAACGACCACGTGCAATGAGTGACCCTGGACTGGACGGTGGAGCAGGAGGACCATAGTGGAAAACTGCTGAAATGCTAATAAGGTGTGTGGGTTAGTTAGTAGTGTTGTATCAGTATTGAAATCCTGGTTTCAGTAATTGTTCTCGTCCCTACCTCTGGTTAGGTAAGATATTAACACTAGGGGAAGCTGGGGAAATGATCTATGGGAACTCTCCATACCTGTTGTGAATCTTCTCTGTAGGTCTAACTATTTCCAATTAATCTGTTGTGAATCTTCTCTGTAGGTCTATTTCCAACTATCTTAAGAGAGATCCAGTGGAACAGTCTATAGAATGGTCTTAAAGGGAAATAAGGCTTTTTTAAATGTACAAAAACACAGTTCAAGGATAGAAAACAAAACTTTAGTCCATATTGCGAAGTTCAGCTTGCCTAAGTAACTAGAAATTGCTTTCCATTTCATCTTTTGCCTTGCAGATAAGGGAACACCATAAACATGACCTCAGAGATCTGCATGCCAGGCCCAGTGTGTCTCATTGAGAACACGAAAGGGCAACTGGTGGCTAATGAGGAAGCCTTGAAGATCCTGTCTGCCATTACCCAGCCTGTGGTGGTGGTGGCTATCGTGGGCCTCTACCGCACGGGCAAGTCCTACCTGATGAACAAGCTGGCTGGGAAGAAAAAGGGTGAGTGTCACCAGCAGAGTTTGGGTGAGTCCCCTCTCTGCAGTCACAATGCCAGCATCCACTGTAGGGATGTGAGGAAAGGAAGTTAGAGTCCAGGATGAATATTGAAAACTAACTTTCAATCCATCATGGCTCTTTAATTCACTTTGGAAGATTAGAGTCAACTCATTCTTCTTCCCACTTTGCCTTTATTTTCCCATTTAAGAATACAAATGTGCCTTTCTGGAAAAAATATGGTGTTAATGAAAAAATTAGCTTACATAATAATGGATCATAAACATTTACCCAAATATTGCTGTAGCAATAGCAAGCTTCCACTGAAATTTACAGAAAAATGAGTGTTTCAATCTGTGTTAGATATCTGTTTTCCCCATTTCTAGGATTATAATTAAGATTAATACTGGTTATAGTTTCTTTTATCTTTTAACTTTGATTATGTTAACTATTATCCCAATTTCTAGAAGTATATGTTTTTTAATCTCCTTCCTGTCTTACCCCCTCTCTCCTTTGCAGGCTTCTCTCTGGGCTCCACGGTGCAGTCTCACACCAAGGGAATTTGGATGTGGTGTGTGCCTCACCCCAAGAAGCCAGACCACACCTTAGTTCTGCTGGACACTGAGGGCCTGGGAGATGTAGAGAAGGTAAAAAATAAATCTTTTAAATTCTACATATGTCACATCAATAGCCTTCTTTGCACTATCACTCCTACTCCTTGATTTTTGGCTCTAATTAATCATATTAATGTATTATTTTTTAATTTACTTGGGTTAAGCATTGAGAGTAGATAGTAATTGTCAACCTATGGGTTGACAGGTCAACCCATAAAATAATGGCTAATGACATTTTTAGCTATTTCTTTCATGTTATAGTAATATGTTTTGGTAAAGCTACTGAAGGCACCTTTGAACCTCACTGGATGGTTTACACATGTCTGACTTTTCACAGTGGGGCCCCTGAAAGATGGTAAGAATATTCACATCCACAGCAGCATTACTAGAAAGAGAAGCAAAGCTTAAGATCTACTAACATCTTTATTCATTATGGATAATGTATTACTACTATAGAATTCTTGGACATAGAAAACTCCTATTAAAATAGCTTATTTTCATCACTGTCTAAAGTGTTTCTTACTCTGATATGTCATGGACATGGACGAGGGTCATAAACTAAGTTCAGAGACCAGCTTGAACTTCAGTAGCTGATCAAAATAACACCTGCTAATCAAGTGCTTATGGACTTACCACTGTCATGTACAAGTTATATATGATTGATGACTTATTTAAATTATACATCATGCATTGAATATTATAAATTCATTCTAAAGATGGAAACAAATATGGCATAGGGAAGTGAGATACCTAAGTTGCCACAGCTAATGAGAGACAGAGCTGGGATTCAGTCTCCACCTATCTGAATTGACAGCACATTCTCTCAGTCACTCTTCCACGTGGCTTCTACCTTGACTTCCAGGGAGACAACCAGAATGACTCCTGGATCTTTGCACTGGCCATCCTCCTGAGCAGCACTTTTGTGTACAACAGCATGGGAACCATCAACCAGCAGGCCATGGACCAACTGCAGTATCCTTTTATGTGGTCTAGAACAGCATTCAATCTAAAAATGAATGGTTTCATTTTTTCACCAGGTACAGAGCCAAGCAAGTACCGAGGTATATAAGTCTCCTCTTTAACGAATCCTGCCATGCTCAGCATCTTGTTTTACCTCAATCTCCACTTTTACTTCAATCTCTACCAGAAGTTCAAACCTTCCTGATCACACATATTCTTAGAAACTCAGCAATACAAGGTTCTGTACATTCTCTATCTGACTTAATCTCCTGTCCATGTCCAAACCCTCAATGTTCTCTAGAATTTATGCTCTCACTTCCAGAAATCTCTATATTCTTATCATTTTCTCTAGATGTTGCCTTCTAACTGACACCTAGCTGTACTCTATAGATGTTATTTCCTCTGCAGACCTCTCAAGTGGTTTTATGTGGTAATTATTTTTCTTTTATCCCAAACCTTACAAGTCATAGGTCCCAGGTGTGGGGAACTTGAGGCCTTAAGCCACACGTGGCCTTGTAGGTCCTTAAGTGTGGCCTTTTGACTGAATCCACATTTAGTAGAACAAGTCCTTTTATTTTTATTAATACGTTTTGTTCATCTTTTATATTTTTATTTTATTTTAAAAATGAATATATTTAAAATACCAAAAAATAAAATAAGTTTCAACAAAATAATCCTCCTGTATTGACTGGCACAATTAGAACAATGTAAGCCATAAGGGCTAAAACGATGGCTGTTTTCCAATGATTTGGTTATAACTTCTCCCGCCTGAATAGTGCCACTACCGCACACACGAGACTGGTTGGCGAGAGTTTATGGGAGTCGAGTACACCAGTCTGTTATCAGTTTTTGATGATGGTGTACTGTGTTTCTGTTTGAAGTGGAATTTGTAAATAGCTGCACAGATCCACAGTATTTTTAGTTCTACATGCTTAAACAGAGAATGCTGAAGGAAGAAAACATTTTTTAATGAGGATTGGGAATTGCAATATCATCTTGTGTCTGCTAACGATAAAATGATTTGCTTGCTTTGTGATACTGCAATATCAACATTAAAGAAATTTCAATGCTCATCAGCATTATAACACTCATAAGGACCACAAATATTTTAAATTAGAGGCAGAGACATGAAAAGTTGTATTGCAGAAATTAAAAGATGAAAAGCAAAAGCAATAAGACTTGGAAATAATGCCACTGATGTAACTTATAAAGTAGCTTATATACTCAGGAAAAAAGGGAAGCCATAAGTGATGTAGAAATTGTGAAAGGCTGCATTGTTGAAGTTGTAGCATGCTTAGAGCCCAGTAAAGTTTCAAAGTACAAACAACTTCCTCTTTCAAAGAGAACAACTGATTGTCAGCATGAATTAGCCTTCAACTTAACAAAATAACTTTATTCAAAAGGAAAATTTATATTATTTAATCACTCTGGATGAATCAACTGATACTACTGACTCGACGCAGGTTTTATACTTCATTTGGATCACAACAGAAGTTTTTTTTTTCTATGAAGAGTTACTCACTTTGGGCACTCTTCCGAACGGAACACAAGAAATAGATATTTTCAACAACTTTTGTGAAGTTGGACTGGATTTGGTAAATTAGTGAGTGTATAGATAGGCAGTGCACCTTTCATGACAGGAAAACATGAAGGGTTTATTGCACAGATAAAGATTTTGAAATGCTTGAATTTTTCGTCACATATACATAGCCTTAGTTTTACCTTGCAAAGAAATATTCAAGTCATTTTGATTTGACATATCATACAGAAATGATGCATTTATTGCACAGATTAAAAATATATTAACAGATCCAGATGCTCTCATTTCTTTTCATCGTATCTTGCATTAGCAAAATCTCTGCGCTAAAGCTACTGTTTCAAATGACACTTTACAACCAGTTATAAGTATTGTTAACTATATTCCTGCCAATGCAACACAGCATAGTCAGTTTGATAACATGGTAAAGTAGAATGATGAGGTATTCAGTGTGGATTTGCTGCATCATTCTAAAGTACGTTGGCTATCACAGGGACAGGTGGTAGCCAAAATTTTATCTCTGCGAGAACAGATAGTTAAATTTTGTAAAGAACAAAATCAGCAATGTGAATTATTGAAAGAAGATTTCTATAGGAATGCAGGGTTTCTGTGTGATATGTCAAATCAAAATGACTTGAATATTTCTTTGCAAGGTAAAATTAAGGCTATGTATATGTGACAAAAAATCCAAACATTTCAAAAAAAGCCATCTTTTTTACAAAACATTTCTTCAAAAGGAAATTTTAGATGAACGTTTTCCCCAGTTAACAAAGGTCACTGCTGAGCAGGATGATATATGCAAATTGATTGAAGAATACATAGCAGGCGTAGACCTATTAATTGGAGAATACAATGAAAGGTTCACTGACTTTGAGAATCATGACATCATACTCAAATTAGTATTTCAGCCTTGCTTAGTTGATACCACCAAGGCACCTAAAGAACTACAGATAGAATTGATTGAGCTCTTAGTAAATGACATTTTAAAGTCATCTTTAAGTGCTAAGAAAGATCCAATTGAAATATGGAGAAATGCTGTAGAATACCCATGCTTTCGGCAACATTCCTGAAAAATGCTTTCTTGCTTTTCAACCATTTATTGCTATGAATCTACATTGTACCTAACCCAAATTAAGATGCCCTTAAGGTAACAAATGACTGATACCCATTTATAGGATCAACTGAAACTGCAGACCTCCATGCTGCAACCAAATATTTAAATGATTTTCAACAAAAAGCAGACACAGCAAAGTCATTAAAAGGTTAGTTAACTTTAAAATTACCAAAGTTTTCATTTTTTGAAACTATTAAATACATAGAAGTTAGATTTTTACAAAATAAGGTACATTTTTAAGTATATCTAATCGAAGTTTCTTGAATGCAGCCTTATTTGATTACGGCTAAATTAATGCAGCCTTCCTCACCCTTCATCTAGTCTAAGTTTCCACCCTCTCTCATCTTGTTTATGTACTCAACTACTTAACTATTTCATTTGCTTACATACTTGACTCAGATACGTTGCCAACCTGTATGATCTTTAAAAAAAATCATATCCTCTCGCCATTCAAAATCTACCAATGCTTTCTCATTAAGTTTTGATTAAATTTCAAACTTCTTACTTTGGTTTATGTTCTGACCCTATTCTTTTTTTCTTTTTTTTGAGACAGTGTCTTGCTTGCTTTGTCACCCAGCAGGCTGGAGTGCAGTGGTGTGATCATAGTAATCATAGCTCACTGCAGCCCTGCAGCCCTGAACTTCTGGGTTGGAGCAATCCTCCCTCCTTGGACACCCAAAGTGCCAGGATTAGAGGCATGAGCCACTTGGCCTGACCCTGACTCCTATTTCTTTTAAGACTTCTGCCCTACCACACTGGATTTCTTGATATTCAATATATGTTGGACATATTCAGTGATTTCCTATCTGCAGGATGGCAGGTTCTGTGGCCTCTGTCTGGATGTTCCTCCAGTGGATTTATGCATGGTTGGCTCCCTCAATTCATTCAGATCACTTCTGAATTACAACCTCAGAAAGAATTTACCTAGACAACTGGACAACATAAAGCAGCACCACATGCAATTACACATAGCTTTTCTCTAAACTTTTGCTGAGTCCATTCTTCTTCAAGACCATTGTTGTCAATATCTGAGATTTTATTATATTTGTTAACTTGTATATTGTCTATCTTCATCATCAAAATGTAAGTTTTACAATGATAGCATTGTCTCATTTACTGTAAGAATCTTAATCCCTAAGACAGTGCCTGTTTCATGGTAGGTGCTCAATAAATGTTTGTGAATGAATGAAATGTGTGATTGAATGTTTGTGAATCAATAAATCGGCTAATAAAGAGAAAAATTAGTTTAGCTAAGTACTGGGATTAAATGTAGTATAAAAAGTGACAATTTTTTTCTATAGTTTTCTTAATTTAGCATCTCAGCTATGTGACAGAGCTATCAGATCGAATCAGGGCAAAATCCTCACCTGAGAGCAACAGTAAGGTAGAGGACTCAGCTGACTTTGTGAGCTTCTTTCCAGCATTTGTGTGGACTCTCAGAGATTTCTCCCTGGAACTGGAAGTAAATGGACAACCCATCTCTGTTGATGAGTACCTGGAGCATTCACTGAAGCTAAAAAAAGGTTATTGGGCCTGGTGTTTGGTTGGGTGACAAATACAGAGAAAACAATATCAGAATGACCATTCCTGTGTAGGTGCTGAAGGTTATAATTTTGTAACTCTGTTTTCTTGATTGTTCTGTTAGTGGAAATGAAAATACTGCTTCACTAAATCAATGGAATCCAATTTTAAATAGCACTTTTTTATTTCCATAAATTTAGGGGGTACAAGTGTTTTTTGTTACATGGATGTATAATGCCCAAATCAGGGCCTTTAGTATACCCGTCACCAGAATAGTGTACATTGTAGCCAATCAGTAATTTTTTTATTCCTCTTCTTCCTCCTACTCTCCCCCCTTCTTTGTTTCCAATGTACATTACACCACTTTATGATCATATATATTCACCATTTAGCTTCCACTTGTGAAAACATGTGGCATTTGATTTTCTATTCCTGAAATATTTCACTTAGGATAATGGTCTCCAGTTCCACCCAAGTAAGTAGTACTCCATGATACATATACTGCATTTTCTTTATCCACTCATCAATTGATGGGCACCTAAGTTGATTCCATATCTTTGTAATTGTAAATTGTACTGTGATAAACATTTGGGTGCAAGTGTCTTTTTGATATAATAACTTCTTTTCCTTTGAGTAGATCCCCAGTATTGGCATTTTCCCCCTCTTCTTGGAAAAGATTTTTCTTTCTCTACCAATTTAATTTTTAAAAATTTCTCCTTTATCATTAATTTTCTCCTTTACATAGACTTTGTGAAAATGATAGAATTGAAGGATCATATATTTGAAGTATTCAGTTTGAAGTTTTACCACTCCTAATTTTCATTCCTGCAGGTAATGATCAAAAAATTAAAAATTTTAATGAACCTCGATTGTGTATCCGAAAGTTTTTCCCTGTGAAGAAGTGCTTCATTTTTGACCGGCCTGCTCAAAGGAAGTACCTTGTCCGCCTGGAACAGCTAAAGGAGGAAGACCTGAACCTTGAATTCAGAGAACAAGTTACAGAATTCTGTTCCTACATCTTCAGCCATTCCAGGACCAAGACTCTCTCGGGTGGCATCACAGTCAATGGGCCTCGTGAGTTGCTCTCTCTACTCACTTGTTCCCCAGACTTTCCTTCTGCCCATTGTAGAAGATAAGAAAGCAAAAGAGTCACTTTTGACAAATACATAGTTTAATGATGCCAAGGAAAATATAGCACAAAGATCACATTAATTTTACATGAAATCTAAAACCCCTTCTAGTATTGTCTCATACCATAACAGCAAAGACAAAAAAGAAAATAACTAGAATCTAATTCTGCTGTAGTAACCTTCTCCACCAACTTCTCAGCTCCACATTTGTGAAATAGCCTTCCAGGAGATATACACAGAACAACAGAGAAAAAAGGAAATACTATATGTAAGTGAGACTTTGCCACTAACCAGAGTGTAATTCTCTTGTTCAGCAGTTTGAAAATATTTAGGGAATGTGGGTGATATATGGGTATAATGATGACCAAGACAAATAAGATTTCTTGTCTCATTCCAGCATAATGGGAGCAAAAGGTATTTTTTTAAAAGTTTGAAATTTTACAATGGTAGATAGAGTGATTAACATAATAAATCCACATATTAGGCTGCTATGAAAGAGTAAAGAGTCTGAGAAGGTAGATATGGTTTACACTATGAGATAGAGAATGTTTGTCTGTAAAAGTCACATGTAAGATGAGAACTTAAAAATGAGTAGGAGTTAATCAGAAGAACAAGGAATAATACCTTTAAAGACAGAGATAATGTCATGAGGAAAGGCCTGAGGCAGGAAAGAACTTTGCAACTTCAAGAAAAATAGAAGAAAGACAGGCGATTGGATCAAGAGTAGACTAAATCAGAGTGGTGCCATGACTGGAGAAGTTAGCAGAGATTGGGTCTTGAAAGGACGGGCACAGGTCTTAAAGGAGATTAGCATTTGTTCTAAACTCTAGGAGATGATCTTGAAGAATTTTGGGCAGTGAGGTAAAATTATTTATATTTATTCTTGGAGTATTTTGCAGATAATTTGTTAGAGAGGTGTAAGGGAGGGAATGAGAGAATGGATGCTGTTTGCAGAGGTTTAGCAATAAACGAAAATTGGGTTAGGCTAAGATTGTGGCAGTGAACATGGTCAAAATAGACAAGATCCAGCATATTTTGGATATCAAATCCAAAGGGCACCATGACAGATAAATGCAGGGAATAAACAGAAGGAAGGGCCAAACCTGTCTCTAGAATTTCAAGCTTAACAAACTGCTTGAATGCATGTGCTATTTACTAAGATAGTAATATCAAGAGGAGGATGAAGTTGTTTATATTTGGATTATTTAATACTGAGTTTCTTCTGATATATACAGTAAGAGATATTATACAAACATTAAATATACAAATCCAAAATTTAAAAATAAGATCAAGGCAGGAAACAAAATTCACCAGGCATCCACACATATGGCAGTTAACACTATATAGAGTGGGTCCAGGAAATATCACCTATCATCTTTTGGGTGACCAACCACTTCAATTTGCCTGAGACTGGGTTTTTCTGGGATGTGTGACTTTCAGTGCTATATCCAGCCAAGCCCTGGGCAAATCCAGATGAGTTGGTTACCCCATCTGTAGCTCTGATAAGAGAATATCTTGATGACCCATTTACCTAAGCCAAACACAAGACTAGTGGCCTGAACCACCAAAGAAAATAAAAGTGAAAAAGGCTAAGTTTTCTCCTTGGTTTTTGTAATAAATTAGGAGTGAAGAGAAAAAAGAAATGCAGGGAGAGATGAGAGACAGGAAGAGTAAGAAAAGACCTAGACCTGATATCTAAGCCTCAAAATACCCTGAATATAATCTTTACATTCCAACATCTTCCTTTTGGGTGAAGCAAGCAGGAGAAAAGAGTATCTTTATTTTACTTTATTTTTTTATTTCGGCATATTATGGAGGTACAAATTTTAAGGTTTCAAAAAATGCCTTTTACCCCCCCTACCCCCACAAGTCTGAGTTTCCAGCGTGACCATCCTGCAGATGGTGCACATCTCACTCATTATATATGTATATACCCACCCCCTCCACCCCAATTACTGTAGTTCCTATGTGTCCACTTAGGTGCTGCTCAGTTAATACCAGTATGCTGGTGAGTATATGTGGAGTTTGTTTTTCCATTCTTTGGATACTTCACTTAGTAGTATGGGTTCCAGCTCTAACCAGGAAAACATAAGATGTGCTATATCACCATTGTTTCTTAGAGCTGAATGTACTCCATGGTATACATATACCACATTTTATTGATCATTCTTGAATTGATGGGCATTTGGGCTGTTTCCACAGCCTTGCAATTATGAATTGTGCTGCTATAAACATTCGGGTGCAGGTGTCTTTTTTGTAGAGTGTCATTGGGTCTTTTGGGTAGATGCCCAGTAATGGGATTGCTGGATCAAATGGTAGATCCACTCGTATTGCTTTAAGGTATCTCCATATTGCTTTCCACATAGGTTGAACTAATCTTCAGTCCCACCAGCAGCATAGGAGTGTTCCTCTCTCTCCGCATCCACACCAGCATTTATTGTTTGGGGACTTTTAGATAAAGGCCATTCTCACTGGAGTTAAGTGATATCTCATTGTGGTTTTGATTTGCATTTCCCTGATGATTAGAGATGTTGAGCATTTTTTCATATGTTTGTTGACCATTCTTCTGTCTTCTTTAGAAAAGTTTCTGTTCATGTCCTTTGCCCACTTTTCAATAGGGCTATTTGATTTTTTCTTGCTGATTTTCGTGAGTTCTAAGTAGATTCTAGTTATCAGCTCCTTATGAGATGCGTAGGATGCAAAAATTTTCTCCCATTCTGTAGGCTGTATGTTTACTTTCATGACTATTTCTTTGGCTGTGCAGAAGCTTTTCAGTTTGATCATGTCCATTTATTTATTTTGTTGCTGCTGTGATTGCCTTTGGGGCTTCTTCATAAACTCTTTGCCTAGGCTACTGTTTCCAACATTTTCCTGTAGAATTCTAATAGTTTTATTACCTTTAGGTTTAAGTCTGTTATCCAGTGTGAGTTGATTTTTGTGAGAGGTGAATTGTGGGTCCTACTTCAGCCTTCTACACGTGGCTATCCAGTTTTCCCAGCACCATTTATTGAAAAGGGATTCTTTCCCCGGATATGTTTTTGTCTGCTTTGTCAAAGATTAGATGGCTATATGAGGATGGTTTATATCAGGATTCTCACATCTGTTCCACTGGTCAATATTCCTATTTTTGTGCCAATACCATATTGATTAAATTACTACAGCTTTGTAGTATAGTTTGATATCTGGTATATTAATGCCTCCCATTTTGTTTTTGTTGCCTAGAATTGCTTTTGATATTAGGGGTCTTCTTTGGTTCCATACAAAGCGTAAAATTATTTTTTCTACATCTGTGAAGAATGCTGATGGGATTTTAATAGGTATTGCATTGAATCTGTAGATCAGTTTGGGTACTATAGACATTTTGATGATATTGAGTTTGCTGACCCACGATCATCGTATGGATTTCCATCTGTTTACATCCTCTGCTATTTCCTTCTTCAGTGTTTCATAGTTCTCCCTGTAGAGGTCTTTTACCTCCTTGGTCAAGTATATTCAGGTACCTTAATTTCTTTGTTGCTATGTGAAGGGATTGAGTCTTTGATTTGGTTCTCAATTTGATTGTTGTTGGCGTATATGAATGCTCTGATTTCTGTGTATTGATTTTGTATCCTGAGACTTTATTAAATTCATTGATCAGTTCCAGGAGTTTTCCTGGTTGAATCCTTGGGTTTTCTAGATTAATATCATTATCATCAGGCAATCAGTGACAGTTTGATCTCTTCTGCCCCTATTTGGATACCTTTAATTCCACTTTCCTCTCTGATTGCTGTAGCCAGGACTTCAGCACTATGTTGAATAGAAGTGGAAGATAGTGGGCAGCCTTGTCTGGTTCCAGTTCTAAGTGGAATGCTTTCAATTTTTCCCATTCAGTATGATGTTGGCTATGGGTCTGTCATATATGGCTTGAATCATTTTTAGATATGTTCCTTTTATGCCTATTTTATTAAGTGTTCGTATCATGAAAGAGTGTTGAATTTTGTCAAAAGCTTTTTCTGCATCTATTGAAAGAATCATGTGGTCTTTGTTTTTGCTTCTGTTTTATGTGGTGAACTTGCATTTATAGATTAGTATGTTGAACATCCTGGCTCCCTGGATGAAGCCCACTTGTTCCGTGATGGATTATTTTTTTGATAAGTGTCTGGATTCGGTTAGCTGGGATTTTGTTGAAAATTCTTTTACATGTACTATTATTTTAAGGAATTGTCTGTAGTTTCTTTTTTGTTGATCCTCTCGCTGGTCTTTGGATATTAGAGTAATCATTGCGCGTTCGATGTAAAGGTTCGGGGAGTTCTCATTCTCTTCGACTAATTATGGAATAGTTTCGTTGCAAGGATAGGTTTTAGTTCTGCTTTGTAAGGTGTGTAGAATTCAGGTGTGAACCCATCTGGACCACGACTTTTCTTTTTAGGGAGATTTTTAATTGCTGTTTCTATTCAGCTCTTAAGATTGGTCTGTTCAGGAAATTTTTTCTTCCTGGTTGAGTCTAGGGAGGCTGTGTGTTTCTAGAAATTTGTCCTTTCCTTCACATTTTCCAGTTTGTGCCATAAAGATTTTTGTGTATTCATAAATTATATCTTGTATTTCCTTGAGTCAGTTGTGATATCACCCTTTTGTTCCTGTGAGCTTATTAGAATTCTCTTTTCTGCTTTCTTGTTAACTAGCAATGGCGTTTCAATTTTGTTTATTTTTTCAAGACACAACTTTTTTATTACTTAAGCTTCCCTGTTTTCAATTTCGTTTAGTTTTGATTGATCTTGTTGATTTCATTCTTCTGCTGGGTTTGGGGCTGGTCTGTCTTCTTTTTCTGCTCTTGAGTCATTTCATTAGATGTCTATTGTGATCTTTTTGACTTTTGGTTATAGCGCATTATGGAGATATTATTTTCCTCTCAGAATGCTTTAGCTGTGTTCCAGAGGATTGTAACTTGTCTCTCCTTGTCATTTTCTTCATAGAATTTTTCAATTTCCATCTTGATTTCTTCATTTATGAAGTAATCATTTAGTAGGAGGTTGTGTATTTCCATGTTTTTGTGTGTAGAAATGTGAGTTTCTGTTAGGGTGATTTCTACTTTTATTCCACTGTGATCTGAGAAATATAATGGTGTATATATATTTTTAAATTTCTTGAGTTTACTTTGTGTCCGTAGGATATGGTAAATCTTAGAGAATGTCCGTGAGCTGATGAGAAGCAAGTATATTCAGTGGGATTTTGAGTAGAATGTCCTGTAAATCTGAGTCAGACCCAGTTGTTCTAGAGTTTGTTTAAGTCCATTATTTCTTTATTAATTTTCTCGTTTGGAGGATCTGTCTTGTGCCCGTCAGTGGGGGTTGAAATGTCCGGTGATTATGGAATTGCTATTAATCCATTTGCTTAGTCCAGTAAGGTTTGCTTTATGGAATCTGGGTGACCTAAGTTTGGGGCAATATATTTAAAATTGTTATCTCTTCTAGTTGAACTGTGCCCTCACATTTTATATGACCATCTTTGTCTTTCACTACTTTTGTTTGTTTAAAACCTAGATCTCTGAATTTGGAACTGCATTCAGCCTTCTTTTGGCTTCACTTGCTTGGAATACTGATCTCACCCTTTACTTTTAGTCTGTATGCTCCTACAGTTAGATGTGTTTCCTGAAGACAGCATATACTTGGCCTGTATTTTCTTATCCATTCAGCCAGCCTATGTTTCTTGAGTGGAGAGTTTAAGCCATTCACATTTATTGAGAGAACTGATAGGTAAGGTAAATTACTGTTCATTCTTTTGTGTTGGATTTTGTTGCTTTGATTTCTCTCTTGAGCCATTGTAGAATCTGGCCTTTAATCTTTGGGTTTTGGTTATTTGTATATTCAAGTTTTTATTATGGTGTTTTTATATTTGAGTTTTTATTATGGTGTTCCGTGAGTAACACTGATTTGAGTTCTTCTTGTAGGGCTGGTCTTGTCTTGGTGAATTCTCTGATACTTTGCTTATCTGAGAATGTCTTAATTTCTCCTTCATATATGAAGCTTACTTTTTGCAGGGTACAAGATTCTTGGCTGGGCGTTATTTTGTTTTTAAAAGAGTGAAAGTGGGTCCCCATTCCCTCCATGCTTGTATTGTTTCTGTTGAGAAATCTGGACTTATTCGGATTGGTTTTCCTTTATATGTGATTTCCTTCCTGCATCTCACTGCTTGTAGGAGGGTCTCTTTTGTTGATATTTTGGTCAGTCTGATGACTACATGGCGTGGTGTTTTTCTGTTTGCATTGAATCTCCCAGGAGTCCTTTTGGCCTCTTGTATTTCTTATTCTAGGTTACTGGTTAGATCTGGGAAGTTTTCCTCAATTATTTCTTCAAAAAGCTTATCTAACCCTTGGGTTTTTTCTTCCTCCTTTTCTGGGATCCAGTGGAACCACAGGTTATTTTTCTTTGTATAATCCCACAATTCTTGTAAACTTTGCTCATGTCTCTTATTTTTGTGCTCTAGCTCTGTGATTAACTTATTTGATTTGAATGAGTTTTCTTCCAGCTCTGAGATTCTTTCTTCTGTTTTGTCTCCCGTATTTTTGAGGCTTTCCACTGTGTTTTGAATTTCCCTGAATAAATTCTTCATATCAAGGATGTCTGATTGATTCTTCTTCAAGATGTCGATCTCCTTAGTGAATCTTTCTTCCAATTCTTTTATCTTCTTTGTGTTGATTATCTATTTTTTCTTGCATTTGAGTGAGCTTTTTAACAATCCAATTTTGGAATTCTTCTTCTGTCATTTTAGTGTTTTGGGTTTGTTCAGGCTCCATTTCTTGAGAGCTGGTGTATCTCCTAGGGGGTGAATTTTTGCCTTGATTTTTAGAGTTGCATTGGGTCCTCCCCATCCTAGGTCAATTGCAAGAGCTGAGTCGACTACTTTTTGTAGTTTCTTGATCAAGCACTGGGGGGAGCTCTTCCACCACACTTGGAAGTTTCCCCTGACAGCGGTAGCTTTTGGGGAAAGTGGGTTTTCTTGTCTTGCCTAGCCTCCAGGGGTGGAGCCTACCACTTTGGGCAAGAGAGATGTGGGCTGAGGGGAGGTGGTATCTCCCCAGTTTGCCCTGCACCGCAGCGCCCCAGTGGCTGTGACTCCCCTTGGCTGCTAGGCTTCTCAGTAGATCCTTGATGGAGCAGGGCCTGATGAGCTGATTGCAGATTGTGTAGGAGTGGGATTTGCCAGGAGAGACTCTAGTCTGGGCAGGGGCGGGGGGCTTTGTCGCTGCCGGCTGGGCTGTGGACCCCCTCAATGGCGATCGCTAGCCCACTCATAGGGCACCAGTACTGGGGGCGATTGAATAGGATGCAGCCGGTGCCGGGTTGGGGGCATGGTTCAATAGGACGCCCCCAGATTCCTCCAGGCCGCCGCCTGCCTGCCCACCTGTTCAGTCAGAGCCCATGCTTTTACTGACCCACCCTGTGTGGTTTTATTCCCCCGGGGCAGTTCCAGCTTAGAGCCCTCTCTTAGTCTTGCAGGTTACCGGAGGTGAGACCTCTAACCACCACCCCAGTCTGTGCCGATCAGTTTCTTTCTGTCTTGGAGCCTTCCTAGCATGGGGCTCAGGGGAGACCACGCTGCCGCCTCTCACCATCAACTGCACCCTCCAGCACCCTCTTCTCCTGCTGCGATTTCGCACCAGTTTCAGACAGGTCTCTGGCTGGGTGGGTGTGGAGGTCAATGGGGAAGCAAGGAGTTCTCCTGTGGGTCTGATCCCACTTCACCACCTGGGCCTACTGGCCGGTGCCCTCCCACGCGCCCTATTGTTTGCTCTGCACTCTCCAGAGAACACAATCTTATTTCCTGGTCACCTTGAATCCTTTTATGGGAGCCTCACGCTGTACCTCTGCGGATTCTCAACGCTGTCCTTGTAGTGGGGAGATCGACTCGCGTGTAGGAGACCAAGATCTATGTTTCCTTCTCTGGGAGTAGAAGTCTGGAGAGTTACCTCTACTCTGCCATTTTTCAATCCCTTGAAAAGAGTATCTTTAATTTCCTCAGTACCTAGAGGTTAAGAAATTATTTTATTACCATTCTTTCTCAGAAAATGCTTGAAACCAATATTTGTGACACTCACAGCATACAAATAATCTGTCCACCAACTGATACTCACAATTTTTAAATACCTTTCTGTAGGTCTAAAGAGCCTGGTGGTGACCTATGTCAGTGCCATCAGCAGTGGGGATCTGCCCTGCATGGAGAACGCAGTCCTGGCCATGGCCCAGACAGAGAACTCGGCTGCAGTGAAAAAGGCCATTGCCCACTACGACCAGCAAATGGGCCAGAAGGTGCAGCTGCCCACAGAGACCCTCCAGGAGCTGTTAGACCTGCACAGGGCCAGTGAGAGAGAGGCCGTTGAAGTCTTCATGAAGAACTCTTTCAAGGATGTGGACCAAAAGTTTCAGAAGGAATTATGGGTATATTTGGTGTTCTTGGTCATGAAAGGCAGAAAAATATGGGCCCTTCTTGAGGAGAGTAATTTTTTCTAGATCCCAAAATAGTAGCACTTGACTATGTGTACAAATTTTCAATCATTATTAAAAGATTAGGATATGCCTAGTCTAAACTTATAAAGAATGGCATCATAACTAGCCAAGTTGTTAAATAAAAATCCATTTTTTTGTTCATTTCCACTCCTCTGCTGTGTTTGAAGCAAATAAGTAAATTACACAACTGCATTTATAAAAGATTATTTTTGTTTTAAAGTGGAAAAATGCATTGCATTCATGGGGATTCAGTTATTTTTTAAATAACCCTAAAACTTTGTTGATTTTTTTTTTCTTAATGTAAGTCAATGGTAAAACATTCAGAAGATCAAGAAAGAGAAACCAGTCATAAGAATTTCATTAGATGTTCTTGCAGTGAGGTATACTAAAAAACAAAAATAAAAAAAAAATAAAAAAAAAAAGAATTTCATTAGAGAATGTTTTTAAAATCTGCCTCGTTCCAAGTTAAGGAAGTAGTGTTGCCTGAAGAATGACCACTTGACAAGTGAAACCCTTCCCCTGGCTAGCAAGGCAGGGTTGTGTCAACAACAAGGCAGGTTGTGTCAATGAGACGTTGCTGCAGTCAGAGGTTCTGGTGAAGCCAGGTAGTCAGTGTCAGCAGACGGTCAGCACCCTTTCGACATAAAGAGGAAAAAAGCTCGATACTTACAATCTTGAATGAATTAAAGTAGATAAATGTGCTGTTCTATTAGACTGTCTCAATACTGAAAAATACTTTTGGTACAACCTTCACTACCTTCATTAGCCCTATATTGAGAAAATACACAAAAATATTCTCACATTAGTGAATGTAGTAAACAATCACTTACCCCTTCCTGAGCACTTCTAGGAAAGTCACTGGGCTTAATATTTTACATCACCTCGCATAATCCTGTTGAGAAATCTAGGATAGCTATTTATTCCCCCATTGTACAGGCAAGGACTCCTCAGTTCACAAAAGTTGAATGTCACAAAGCCACAACGTGGTAGCGCAGGCCTGCCTGACTCCGGCGTTGGTGCTCTGAACCATTCCAGAAATTAAAGACTTGAAGATGAAAGTTTCATATGAAACAGTGTCTGTGCTTTGAGAATCATTCTCCGAAGCAGGAAAGCAGGGTAAAGTGGCTGCAGGAAACCACAAAGAGGCAGATACGTTTTTGCAACTGGCACTTGTCTTAGGGAAGATGAGGAGTGTGGCCCTGTTGAGATGCCACCATCTGTGCGGGAGAAGTACCTCCCAGTGGTCTATGTGTGCTTAACATCCTCGCAGATTTACTGTATCATCTGTGTATTTTGTAACTTCACAGGCCCAGTTGGAAGCAAAACGAGATGACTTTTGTAAGCAGAATTTGAAAGCATCATCAGATTGTTGCATGGCTTTACTTCAGGATATTTTTGCCCCTCTAGAAGAGGATGTGAAGCAGGGGACATTTTCTAAACCAGGAGGCTACCATCTCTTTATTCAGAAGATGCAGGAACTGAAGAATAAGTACTATCAGGCACCTGGAAAGGGACTACAGGTAAACTACACAGTGGGTACCATTTCTGGGGACTTGCTAAGGAGACTTGCTAAGGAGTTCCCAACCCCATTGGGAACAAAAAAAAATGGCACTGTGATTGGTATGTAGGACCCCTGCCTTTTGTTCATTCATTTACTGATTCATTCAATAAGAGAGCCTACCATGAGATAGATACCAAGTTCCTTATTGGAAGCCCAGATTGAGCCCTCAAAAAATGTTTATGGGATTTACTCATTTATTTATTTATCCATTCAATCATTATTTATTTTGGCCTAATTGCATACCAGGTACTTGTCAACTTGCTGGTGATAGAACAATTTAGAAAAAACAAACAAACAAAAAAAAACAAAGTCCAAGTTCTTTCAAAGTACTTACAGGCAATAAGCAAATTATACCTTACTGACAAATAATAGTAACAGCTATTACTTAGCTTGCACTTACTATGTTCCAGGAACTGGGCTAAGAGCTTAAGTCATTTAATATACACAACAATCCTACAAAGTATGTATTTTTAATGTCCCAATTTTATAAAAATAATTGAGGCACAGAGAAGTATAGAGACACACCCTATGTCACACGCACGGGTAATGAGCAGTACAGCTTGAATGCAAGATCAGGTAGCAGAATCTGTGCTCTTAACAATTCTTCAATGCTGCTATACTCTGGCTATATCAGTTAGAATTAGGTTTGGCAATATATTATTTAAAATGAAAAAAAATATTTAAAAAAAAAATTTAAAATAAAAAAAAAAAAACCACAGTGGCTTAAAAAAGGCAAACATTTCTTTCTTTCTTGTTCACAAGAAGTCAGGATGAGGGAGCCCAGTGCTGCTATAATGACCCCAAATTCATCTTGGTCCCAGTCCCCTCCCTTTGTTCTATTCCAGCTTAGCACATGGCTTCCCCTTAGCACATGGCTTTTATCTCCAGGATCAATTTACGCTCTAAGATGGCTCTTAGAATTTCAGCCTCTGGTTCCATATTTATAGGTGGATAGAAAAAGGGAAAAACTGAAGAGTAAAAGGGCTGTGAGTTAACTTCCTTTTTTAGAGATTTCTGAGAAGTACTATATAAATTTCCGATCGCAGGTTTTTGGCCAGAATTTAATCTTATGGGCAGCCCAGCTATAAGGGATATTGAGTAGAAAAGACAGTATATTATCATGATCTGCCATGTGCCCAGCTGGGAAAAAAATCAGAGTTCTGTTACAAGTACACAGAAGAGAAGAGATATTTAGGATGACTCTAGCAGTCCCTGTCAAAGAGACAAAAATATCTCTGAAGAATAAAAAAGAATAATACAGTTATAGTAGAGGAAGGAAATCTGGAACAATTTTGTGCATGTATTCTTAGAAAAGGCCTCTGAGATGAGTAAAGTTTTAGCAGAATCTTCAAAGCAGTTAGGGAGTGAGCCAATGGACTTAGGGGAAGAAAATTTCAAGCAACAGAAATGGTTCAGAAGAATAAATTGGTTTATATTCTGGGAATAGCAAAACAGCTAATGTGCTAACAGGCAGTGATCCAAGGAGAAGCTGGCAGGTGATAGGGTCAGAAGAATGGCCAGAACACAGAGGCCAGATAGGGGAGTATGTTGAAATCTGCTGAAAGAAGTTGGGAATTTATTTTGATGAGTTGGAAAGTCAATAGAAGGTTTTAAGTATAAGAGTGGTATGATATTTCTTAAAATAATATAGCAAAATTCTGGTTGCTCTGAGAAGAATGGGCTGTAGTGAAGAAAGAGTGGATGCAGAGAGACCAATTCTGATGCTGTAGCAATGGTCCAGGGTAGAGGTGATGCTGCTTGGACGAGTGTGTTTGGGTGGAACAGGTGATGCGTGATGGGTTCTGGTTGTATTTTGAAGCTAAAGCCAACACAATTAGCAGGCGATTGCACATGGGATGTATGAGACAAAGAAGGTGTCAAGGATTTTGTTAGATGAACAGAGTTTCTAATTATTAAAATTGGGATGATTGTAAAGGAACAGGTTTGAGGGTGCATCTAGAGTTGAGTTTTAGATCTACTAAATTTGAAATGCTCTTTGAATTACAAAGTGAATTGTTACATGGGTGATAAAATTATTTAATACATTGAATTAACATGTATATTGCAGGGTTTTGCCTTAACCCATAGTCTTTATTTCCTCATTATAACTTCCTGTGTAACTAGGCAGAAGAGACGCTGAAAAAATACTTGGAGTCCAAGGAGAATGTGGCTGATGCACTTCTACAGACTGATCAGTCACTCACAGAAAAAGAAAAAGAGATTGAAGGTAAGAACAACTGAAAGCACTCCAGATGGCTGGAAAGCCCTAGAAATGTTGGTTAGCAATATTAGTCCACCTGGAATTATTATTGTAGAGAAGGAATAGCAACTATCATTCCTAGATCTATGGTAGTTTTTTCTTAACTGGTATGTATGGCCATCTCTCTTCTGGTTACTCAGCAAAAAAATTATAACCAGTTTTCTCAGTGACATGAGAATAAAACAAAAACGGGTGAAAGGCAAAAGGAACACGTGATTTATTATTCATATTTCTCTGCTTATTTTTCTTCCTCAGCGGAACGCATAAAGGCTGAATCTGTAGAAGCTGCAAACAAAATGTTGCAGGAAATGCAAAAGAAGACTGAGCAGATGATGGAACAGAAAGAGAAAAGCTATCAGGAACATCTGAGACAACTGACTGAGAAGATGGAGAGAGACAGGGCCCAGCTGTTGGCAGAGCAAGAGAAAACAATAAGTCTTAAACTTCAGGTATTAAAGTGCATCATATCAATGTTCTCTTCCAGTGTCCCAAATCAAAAATATAAGGGTGAGAAACTAATGCCTCCCCCAAAAGCTTTCTTAACCAGAAAGAAACTCTATTACATTTTTCATTCCCTAACTGTTTTACCCTGGCCATTTGATTACTAAATGCTGTTTACTTGCAGGATAAAATCCCACGGAATCTTTCATTATGCTATCACCAATAAACAGTAGCTAGTCATTACTAAGCACTTCAAGAGTGTTTTAAAGGCATTCAACATCAAATCTTTATCCAATGGCATAGGAACTATTATTTTCTCATTTGAAAAATGAGAAAATCATAATTTCATGAGCAATAAGTAACTTTTCTTCATCTGACTGCCTGATGACATATCCAGCCTGTCTTTTCTGAGTGGGATCCATCGGGATTTTGTTTCTCCCGGACCGGGTATATGGCATTATCTCTTAAAGCACCCAAATGAGCAGAAAGACTCCTTTATCATCTATGCACTTAAGCACACTGGTTAAATGCCCATATTTCTAGTACTTTCCTGCTCTCCAGGCTCTACTCTGTACCTATGTTGAATCTGGATGTTGGCCCCAAAATTCCGTATGAGTTACTGCAAGCCCTGATCTCAACTTATTTTTGTTATCTCTGCCACAAAAATTACAGACTTATACTAAATTCACTGATTAAATATCTGCCCTGATTCTGAATTATACAGTAACCTTCCAGTTGGAAATCACCCGTTTTTCATACCTTCCTAGATATATATTTGAGAACCCATACTGTTAATATATAGATCAGAGATGAAGCAAAAAAGGAAAGCGGTGTTTTTTCAGAAACACTATGTTGCATGTGGGTTAAGAGACCCCAAAATAAAATTCTGGGTCAACACTGTTTTGTAAACTGTAAGATAACAACATTTCTGAAGCTAAAGAAATACCAGAAAATTTATTGGCAGAAATAAGAGACTCAGGAAAGAATGATACAATGGAAGTTAAGGGAAGAAAGGATTTTAAGGAAGAGTGTCAAAAGCTCTTGAGGGATCGATATAAGTGCCAAAATGGAAACTAATTTGGCAAATATGGGAAATGTGTCAAGCCATACAAGTTTAGTCTCCACTTTCCCTTTCAGGAACAGGAACGACTTCTCAAGGAGGGATTCCAGAATGAGAGCCAGAAACTTCATAAGGAGATCCAGGATCTCCAGAAGAGAAGCACACCATCGGGCCCATGTACCATACTCTAAAAATTCAGGAAACACAATTTCTGTATCCGGCTTTCTCTCCCCAGGGAAAAAATGGAATGAGCAAATGCAGGCCAAATAACAGCCACTAAACTTGACTTAAAATCATTACCCTTGCATTTTTGTTGAGCTGTAAAGTTTGCAAAGTGAAGTTTAATTATAAAGCCAATGTTTCACCTACAGAAGAATTCAATTCATGCTTATTTATAGTACTAATTGTTAATATGATCTTTAACTGGATCCTATATTTGAAATCATGTTCAGGGACTCAAGAGAGATATTAAATTGTAAAATTGGGATGCATTTTACAATGGGGAGATATCATAAGTTATCTGTTCAACATAGACTTTTTCCCCCTCATGCGCACCAGTTCCATGCTCTTACTCAAGGATTTACTTTGGTCCTAGCATAGGGATGGCATGTTGTGAACACAGGGAAAATCTAATATGACTGAACAAAACCCTGAGGCACAGTTGAGCATCACTCCTGTCGAGTGGTTTTTGATCTCATGGAGCTGCAAATAAGAGAGATCTGGGATACTTCACTTGGCTTCAGGGTGCAGACAGTGCACAGTTCTCACTTGGGTGGAGGCTGCATGGTCTGTGGGCACCGATGAAACTTCTGGACACTGGCAGAGGACGTGGTCCCCAGTGTGCATATGACAGAATGCATGTATGAGTGGAGGCCCCACCTTCACCGTCTATGCAAACCGTCTGCGTAATCACTGCCCCATCCCAGGCCACCTGTCTCACTCTCATCCAATCTCCCTTTCTTAGTCTTTTCTGCTTTCTGGAGTTTGGAAGATAACTTCCACAATCACAAAAAGGAAAGGTTTTAACTCAAACTTAAAATAAATCTCCTTCCATTTCTCTGAGGACCATGACTATAATTTTATAAAATCTAAAATTGACTCCATCTTTCTCTCTGCCCCTCTGATATGACATTATATCCTCAAAGCCACTCAGGATAAATATCTTGCTAGTCAGGAACACATGAAAGATGGAAAAATCAACAATACTTCATTAATACAAAACATTAACCTACCACAATTGTTTCAGGAGGTGTATTATTTAGGGTTCTTTAGGGCAAATAATGGAATCTTCTCAGAAATTTAAGTAAAAAGTAATTTAATTTTTAAGACTATTAGGCAGCACACAGATACTCTAGGAGGGTAAGCGAGTCAAACTCTACAGTTATTCCATCCAGAATAATGCCACCATACAGTGCAGGCCTTTCAAGAGAAAACATCTGGAATGACAGATTAGGAGAGTTCACTCTGTTATTGTAACACTTTTTCCCTGTCTACAAAGCACAACCCCATTAGAAATCTTTTTACTATAGGGTCTGCATAATCTCTAAAGGCATTTTTTCATGTAGAGCAGGAAGAAATAAAGTTCTTGACAAGTGATCTTTCTTCAGGCTCCCAAAGGCCAACAGCAAATGCCTTTCAAATGAAGGTCCTTCCTTAACCTTCCTGGTCCATAATCTTGCCCTCCTTGCTTAGGTTCTTGAGCCCTCACACAATCATCTGCTCCTTTGAGCCTGTTTATTTGAATGTTTTCAGCTGAATAATCAGGACATCTATTGGCAAAGACTCCAGAACATTCTAGAAAAGACAGCAAAAGGTTCTGGTGTTTCTAATCTATGTGGGTATTGGTGGCCTGGGTTAGACTTTCTTAGCAGTGTTTCCACATATTTCCTTAATACCAACCGTGTTAAAGCAAGGGCTAAGACCTCTCTTTAGTACAGACAAGTGTCAGGAGAACAACACAGCATTAACTCATGTATGGAAAGGAATTATGTTGTAAATCAGCAAAGTGCCCACTTCTCTGGAAGCCATTTTTATAGGGAATGGTATTTGGCTTATTTACAGCTTCACTGACAAAAATTCCCTTTAATCATTTCCCCCATTTCCCCTTGAAAAATAGGCTATTCTAGTAAGAATACAATTAAATCATACGGCTCTGCTACTTCCCTGATTAGGTAAAAAAGAACAAAGGGAGAGAGCAATTCCTTAAAGTACTGGAAATATTAAACAGCAGGGAACAATATTCTACCAATAGAATTAACTAAAAAGCTATTTGTAATCGATAAAAACATTTATACAGCACAGCGATTATTTTAAAAAATAAATACTGTATGCCTTTCCAACATAGAAGTAGCTCACCAACACAAATTCCTACAGACCAACAAAGCCCAGTACACTAGAAGAGTGGACTAGCTGTAGGATAACATAGAAAAATGAATCGAAAGGTCATGGGATGTCACAAATTATGCAAAATAAGCCACTTAAAACACTCTGTGCATATAGAACTCAACATTATGACAGAATTTGCCTTAGGCTCACAGTTGGGGGAATTCTGTTATAGAATAACAATCTCTGGGCAAAAAAAATACACTTGAAATATTCAATTAGAATATAAATTTAAAAAATTTTAAATACATCAATAAACTGATCATAAAATTTGAATTTGAATAGAGACCTAGACAACTACCAAATAATAAAACTAAAAAGGGTTTAGAATAGACAAACAGAACATGGTCAAAAATGGAAGCTAAGAAATAAATATATTAATCATTCATAAATCCATTTATATTGGCCTATTATATCCAATACAATGCCAAGAAAAATATTGGAAGAACTTCACAATGTGATCCTAACGTTCGTTCAAAAGAGGTGGAGAAGGCACAACAATGTGTTATACCTCCATCTCCCTGATCTGCTTTCTCTACGACAACTTCATGCTCCAGCAACCTCAGCCCACATGGAACCACAACACCCAGAGCTCCAAACTTAGAGCCCTCAATCTAAACCAACATGGAATCCCTACTTTGCAGTATTTGTATCAGCTCATTTAAAAGGTCCCTGCTAAGTTGGGTGCTCTGATTGCCCAGCTTAGCCTGTGCCTGTCCCTGTGACTGGGAGTCTTGACTACCAGCAGAGCAGGGCCAGGAGGAGCAATTCCTAGGGGGAAATCATGGTGGGCACACAAACAGGAACATTTGTGCACAGCCATTTCCTGCTACTAACTCTGCTCTCTGGAATCTAAGGCTGAAGAGTTTCTGCGGATGTACTTCAGCTCCAAGCAGTCTAATATTAATGCAATTCTAAAGACAGATGAGGCTCTCACAAACAAGGAAAGGGAGACTGAAGGTAAGCCAAGGAGTAAGCCAAAAGACTTGATATGCACAAAAGGTCTTAAAAATTTAAATGTTTTGTGAAGTAAAACTGTGATAATTAAACTAGAGCAATAAAAATAAAATAATCATAGCTCTTTAAGTCATTCTGAGAGCGACATAGGAAGTCAATTACATTATAGTTACCCCTAAAGAAAAATGTTTCCAGGAAATTTCTTCTATCAAATGTCAACAATAACAAGTAAATACGGAAGGAAGCAAAAGGAAATTCTGTGTCTTGCTAGTGTCGGCCACTGTAACAGAATACCATAAACAGGTAGCTAAAGCAACCAAAATTTATATCATATAGTTTGTAGGCTGGCAGTCTGAGATCAGGCTGCCAGAATGGTCAAGTTCTTCCTTAGTGAGGCCCTCTTTCTGGTTTGGCTGCTTTCTCATTGTATCCTCACCTGGAGGAAACAGCGAGCTCTGGTCTGCTCAAGTTGTCATGAGAACACTTATCCCATTATGGGAGCTCTACTCTTATGATCTTATATAAGTCTAATTAGCTCACCAAGGCAAACCTATATAACTTTTCTTTTTCTCCATTTCCTTCTCATAACATACAAAATCTGAATCAGCAGAGGCTACTGCAAAACAGTTGAAGGAAATGCTGGGGTGGTGGCTCACACCTATAATCATAGCACTCTGGGAGTCTGAGGCGGGAGGATCATTTGAGCTCATGAGTTTGAGAGGAGACTGAGCAAGAGTGAGACCCCGTCTCTACTAAAAAAATTGAAAGAAATTAACTGGATAACTAAGAAGTATATGTATATATAAAAAAATCAGCCAGACATGGTGACACATGCCTGTAGTCCCAGCTACTCAGGATGCTGAGGCTGGAGGATCACTTGAGCCCAGGAATGTGAGGTTGCTGTGAACTAGGCTGTTGCCACAGCACTCTAGTCTGGGCAACAGGGAGAGATGCTGTCTCAGAAAAAAAAAAAAAAGATAAGCAGATGATGGAAAAGAAAGAAAAGAGTTGTCAGGAGCACGAGAAACAATTGACTGAGAAGGTGGAGATGGACACAGCCCAGTTGCTGGCAGAGCAAGAGAGGACTGTAGCTCTTAAACTTCAGGTATTCAATTGTGTCATTTCTTTTATCTTTCACTGTACAGAATTAAAAGCACAGTGTGGAGCTTAGAGCATGTAGAAAAAGGAATTTTCTAGCCCATATACTAGTAGGCTTTTCATTTCCTTATTGTGTCTATCCTTGGTCATCTCTATTTACTAAATGCCATTTGCTTACAGAATAAAAATCCATGAAATCCACTTTGTTAAATCACTACTAAACAGTAGGTATTCATTGTTCATCTTTGCATACATATTTTTCAGGCACTCTGTAATTGATTTTTGACTAATGGAACAGGAACTATTTATCTTCATTTTTTAAATGAGAAAATTATAATTTAATGAGTTTTAGTAAATTTTCTAAATCATAACTCATGAAAATGTGTCTGGCCTGGGAAATAGTGAATATTTTTCCATATCTGTTAGGACTTTATCTCTGGAAGCACCCTAATGAACAGGAAGACAAATAACCACATAGGACATTGTTTAAGCATCTAGGTTTATTCCAGGGTTTATGTGTGTCCTGGAATTTGCTGGAGCTTTGAAGCCATATGGTGAGTCAGACTGGGAGTTAAAGTCTCTGGGCACAGTTGAGCATCAATCTTTCCAGTGGTCAACCTTATTCCAGGACCTTCCTGTTCTTTGGCCCTACCTGGAGTCTACCTTGAGTCTGGATGTCAGCCCAGTGATGCGCTATGGGCCACAGTAATCCCTGATCTCCTCGGTATGAGTATTTCCTCATACTGGTCTCACTGAAATTTGGGAGCTTATTTAGAATTCCCTTATAAGACAGTTCCTTTGATTCTGATATTCGCAAAGGAAATCTTCCTTTGAATTTCAAGCATTTTTCTGGAGTACGTACATGAAAATATCCACATTATATAAGTGAAAGTTGAAACAAACAAAACATTGACAATTTAGATTGAATAACTATGTTCAATGTGGAATCAAAAATCTCAGGTTGGAATTATGTAGCAAATATATTTTAGAAATTATAAATAAGAAAATTATATACTTAACCTATGAGAAAAAAAACACAGAAAAATCGTAGCAAGGAAAGATAACTGCAGTGAGACATAATAGGATTTTAGGAGGATAGAATTGAAGAAAGAATGTCAAATCACTTGAGGAAGTAGTGCAAGTACTAAAAGAAAAATTAACATGAAAATTATGAACAAATTTAGTAATCTTATTTTATTCTGTATTAGGTTCAGTATTTCTTTACCTCTTAGGTAAAGAAACAGCAACAGCTACTCAAAGAGGATTCAAAGAAGAGAACCGAACACTTCAGGAAGATATCAAGAATGTGGAAATTAGATACAAAGAAACAAGTATGATCATCTATTTAATAGGTATCATATTGAAATCTAGAAAATAGGAGTTTCTTCTCCTACACCCTCCTGTCAGGGTACAAGTTGAAAGACAATCCTTAGAAGATCAGACAACTGCTACTACTGTTAACATGAATTCATGACACTTGCATGTTCACTAATTCACAAAGTCTGCAAAGATGAAGCTTACTCGTGAAGGCAGTCTGTTACCAACAACTGAAGCTACCTATTTCATGCTCACTGATATTGCTGATGGCTAACGTGATCTTTTACTGGATCATATATTTGACATCATTCACAATTTCTGCTATGTATATAGTAAATTGTGTAATTTGGATAAATTTTACTGTGTGGAGTTATCAGACAGCTTCTAATCAGGTAAACTTTTAAACTTTTCATCTATACCATACTTTTAGACCCTTAATTGCCATAGAGCTACTCAAGGGTTTACATGTATCCTGGGATGATGTTGGAGCTTTGAGAATATAGGGTAAGTGGAAGTGGGGGTTAACAGTCTTTGGACACAGTTGAGCGTCATACCTCCCTGTGGTCAATAGGTCAAGTGCCTGCTGCATTTAGAAGGAAGTCCCCATCACCAATCAATGTCAGTGCAATGAAGCTACCTTCAGTGTGAGTGTACAGTTAACCACTGGCTGGAGGCTGCATGGTCTGTTGGAAAAGGTGGGACACTGAATGCAGGAAGAGCTCACATCAGAGGAAAGGGAGACATAAGTGGAGGCTCAACCATCTTTATGGAAGCTTTTTGAGTAATTAGTGTGACTCTTCAGTCCTAGATCACCTCAGTTCTTTAAGCTCAAGCAAGAACAGCAAAGATGTGTCTTCACTCTTGAAGAAATGTCTGAGTGTGGCATAATATGTCAGCAGCATAATGGCTACCCCAAGGGAAATACTGACCCAGGGAATTTCCTCTATAAAGGAGTAACATAACTAATAAGTCAGAGGAAGAAAGAGGGAACAAAGTGTTCCTACATATTCATTTTTCTTTTTCCTCATCAGTGAACCTTATGAAAGCCAAATCTGAACATGAAAACAAAGTATGAGCAGATGATGGAACAGAAAGAGAAGAGGCATCAGGAAAATGTGACATGTTTGTTTGAGCAATTAGAAAGAGATAGAGCCAATTAAAGCCAGAGTAAGAAAGGACTCTTGACTCTTAAACTTCAGGTATTTAATTGTGTCATCTCAATTTTCTCATCCAATGGCCAAGGATCAGAGACAGTGATTACAGGTCAGCGCACTTCTTTGTCCAGATAAAAGTGAAAGCCAGACGTTACTATAGTTTTCATTCCCTTCGTGTTTCTATGAGTGTCAATCTGTGGTTGCTAAAGGCCTTTTACAAACAGATTATGCTCCACGTATTCTGTATTATATCACTCAATACACAGTAGTGAATAATTCCCAAGCCCTACATAAGCCCTTCATAAAGTGATTAATTTACATGCATTACATATTTCCATCCTCATCTAACAGCATAGGAACAATTCTATTCTACTTTTTCAAGTAAGAAAATTATAATTTCAGTAGAAATTAGGTAGTTTGCTGTGTCATATATCATAGAAGAAGATCCATTCTGTCTTTTCTACCTAGTGGAGCAGTCCATGATTTGTTATCATATCTGCTATGACCTTATCTCTACGATCACCTTGATGATTAGAAAGACATTCTAACCATGGCGTCACTTAAACACACTAGCTAAGTGCCCATGCTGCCATTAATAGCATCTTCCCGTTCTCCAGGCACTATTCAGAATCTGTGAATTGTCTGAATGTCAGACCAGAAATGCACTCCAGACACCAGTAGTCCTGATGTCCTCAACGGTTTCTTTCTTACTATGCCCACCAAAAGTTTACAGGCTTATACTGAATTTCACCATCAGACATTTCCACTGCCTCTCAGCATCATATGTAAATCTTAGGGATTTTCCCATTAGCCAAGATTCTGGAACAAGTATTCATATGTGTAAAAATCCACATTATATAGAGTGAGAGTTGAAGGGGAAAAAGTGTGACATTTCTACACAATTACTGTGTATAATTGTTAGTTCAAGGATCCCATAGAGGAATTCTAGAGAAACAATACTTCAGGAACTATATGAATAAAAGATATCTGAAGATAGAGAAAAAGTCCTAGAAAAATTAAAAACAAGCTTAGGATTCTTAAGAGAGAGTGACATAATGGAAGTTAAGGAAGGAGGAAATTCAAGAAATAATATCAAAATCTAGTAGGAGATTAATTTAAGGAATGAAAGGGAAACTTATTTGGTAATTATGGAACAATTTCTACAAAATTATTATGTGCCAAGCCACTTTAATTATCCATTTTCCCTCTTTAGTAGCAATTTCATCTCAAGGATTATATTACGGAAGAGAGAAGAAAATATCAGAAAGAAATCCAGGAAATGGAGATGAGAAACAGAGAAATGAACATGTCATGTAGTATAATCTAAAAATACAAAATCAAATTTTTCCTATCACACAGCCTGTGACCAGGGCACAAGTGCAATGATCAATTTCAAACATCCAAACAATTGTCACTGAAATTGAATCTATGATGACTGCACTTACATTGATGCATATATTTTACAAAGATGAAGTTGAAATGGAAAGGAAATGAGTTACTTACTAAGGCTATTTATTTCATGCTTATTGTAGTAATGATTTCAATGACCTTTAACTGGATACTGTATGTCAAGTCATGCACATTTCCTCTGGAGAGATTATAATAATAAATGATGTAATAAGTATGCCTTTTACAATAGAGAGATATCAGGCAGATACTGTTTAGGGCAAAATTTTTCTTCCTCATCCACACCACACTTCTAGACACCCTCAGCCCCATGCTCTTCTTTAAGGGTTTATTCATGCCCTGGGATGAATGCTGTGAACATAGAGGAAATTAGATGTAAAGTGAACAAGAATTTTGCTCACAGTTGAGCATCACTCCTAAGTGGTCAATAAGTTACATTTCTTCTAGATGAAAAGGAGATTTTTCTTACCCATGACTGTCTAAGACAACTGGCTGGGCTTAGTGTGTAGAAGGTGTACAGTTTACAGCATGGTGGAAGCTTCATGATCTATAGGCAGTTATGGTTCTCCTGGGCCCTGCCAAGGATGTGCTCTTTTCTGTGAAGAGTAGATTATGTAATGAGAGGGTCAAATTGCTCACTGGTTAATTACTGCCCTAGCCTCAGTCCTCTGTTGTATCTTCAAACTTAAGCAAGAATGGTAAAGACATGTCTTCACTCCTGAACACATATCAGAGTGTGGCAAAATATTTCAGGGGCAATATGGTTACCCCAAAGGAATTATTGTCCCTGGGAATTTCCTCTATCAAGTATCAACATAACAAATACACTTGAGGAAGAAACAGGCAACACAGTAATCCTATATAATTTTTCTTCTCTCTTTTCGTCCTTAGTGGAAGAGGCAAAAACTAAATCTGCACAGCATATAACCAAAATGGTGGAGGAAGTGGAAAGGAAGTTTGAGCAGACGACAGAATAGAAAGAGAGGAGCTGTCAGGAACATGTGAGACAACTGACTGAAATGATGGAGATGGACACAGCCCAGTTGCTGGCAGAGCATGAGGGGACTACAGCTCGTCAAATTGAGGTATCTAATTGTGTCATCTCGATTTTCTCATTCAGTGGGCAGGGATCAAAGGCACTGATTACAGGTTAGCATACTTCTTGGTCCAGATAAAGGCCTTTTGTAGCCAGACACTGGACTGTAGTTTTAACTCCCATCAATGCCTACCTGTGGTTGCTGAAGGCCTTTTACAAGCAGACCCTGTGCCACAGAGCCTGCACTGTTATTTGCATTAGCAGTGGCTAATAATTGCCAAGTCCTACACAAAGTGCTTTACGTGCATTACATATTTGCAATCTCATCTCATGGTACAAGATCTATTCTATTATACTTTTCAAATGTGAAAATTGTAATTTCACAAGAGATAACATAGTATTCTAGGATATAACTCATGGAAAAGTATCTAGCTTGTATTTCTTACCTAGGGGGATCCACAGTGATTTTGTTTTTGTCATAATCTATGTCATTATATCTGTAAGCGTATGACACATCCAGGTCTATATTGAGTCTGCACGTTGGTCCAGAAATGTTCTATGAGTGCCTACATTCCCAGGATTCCTCAACTTTTTTCTCTTACTACTCCCACCAAAAATTTGGAGGCTTATATTGAATCCCCTAATCAGATATCACCCCTGTATCTGAGCATCATGTAGAAGTCTTCCTAGTGGATCTTGACTATCCTATGGAAATTTATGTAAACATATATACATAAACTATCTACATTATGTGGTAAAGAGTTGAGACGATTTTTTAAAAACAAAATGACAGATTTCAGAGAATAATTCGCTGAATATGGGTTAAAAGTCCCACACATAGATTAATAGGCAACAATATCATAGGAAATATAGACAAAATATTTCTTAAGGTAAAGAAAGCACAGAGAAATTAATACCAGACATAATTAAGAAACTAAAGGGGAACTTATGTGACAATAAATGAACACATTTAGTGATCTTATTTTATTCTACACAAGTTTTAGTCTGTACTTTCCCTTTTCAGAATCAGGAAACATGTTTCAATGAGACAATCAGGAAAATGAACAGTAAACATCAGCAAGAATTACAGAGTATCAAAAAGAAAAAGAAGATTCTGAATCATCACATTCCTTGATGTGAAAAGTCATAAAACAATGCCATTCTCCCTGTTCTCTCCACTCAGGGCCTAGGTTTAGTGAGTAACTTCAGAAATTCTCACATTTGGAATTAAACTAAGCCCAAAATAATAAAGTTTACAAAGCCTAAGTGTGAAGGCAATGTGTTACTTTCTCAAGGGTACTTATTTCATACTTATTCATAGTATTAATGACTAATGTTTAGCTGGATGTTATTAGAAATAATGAACATTTACTCTTGGAATTTTGGATTATATGATTGAGATGCATTTACACCTGTCCAAACTCAAAGGGTTATATCAGGCGGGTTCTGTTTAGTATAAACTTTTCAGACTCAGACATAATGCTCTTCCAGATTTCCTCACATGCATGTTTTTACTCAAGGGTTTACTTGCGTCCTTGCATTCAGTTGTAGTGTTAAATACACTAAAAGACCTACAACTTAACTCCATTCTAATCTCTGCATTTCTGCTATGACATCACTTCATGAAAAACACTGAGGTCATAATGCTTAGCTAGGAAGGAAAAGCATATACAAGGATAAAACACAATTCACAATTGCAAAGCTATGGAAACAACCCAAGTGTCCATCAATTCATGAGTGGATTAATAAAATATGGTGTATGTATACCATGGAGTACTACTCATCTTTAAGAAACAATGGTGATAAAGCACCTCTTGTATATTCCTGGATACAGCTGGAACCCATTCTACTAAGTGAAGTATCTCAAGAATGGAAAAGCCAGCACCACATGTACTCATCAGCAAATTGGTATTATCGGATCAACACCTAAGTGACATATAGGAGTAACATTTATTGGGTGTCGAGAGGGTGGGAGGGGGGAGGAGGGGATGGTGTATACAACCACAACGAGTAAGATGTGCAACGTTTGGGAGATGGACATGCTTGTAGCTCTTACTTGAGGGGGGAGGGGGGCATGGGCAATATGGGTAACCTTAACACTTGTACCCCCATAATATGCTAAAAAAATCAAGAATAATTCAGTAATCTATACATAGGAACCTACCAGAAACATTTTAGAATGGGCATCCAACATCATGCCTTAATGTAATCAACAGAATCCACACAGATTTTAAGTAAAAATTAATTTTACATTGAATTCTGTTTGGTAGAAAAGATTATCCAGGATCCAACTCCAGACTCTATAGCTATTCAGCCAAGAACAATAGCACACATACAGGTCCAGCATCTGAAGTGAAAACTTCACAGCTGCTACCACTTGGAATCAAAATCGATCGCTGGATCAAATGTCAGAAAATACACCAATGTCAGCTCTCGGGACAAGAATACCTCTATGTTTATATTTAAAGTACACAACTTCCTCCGTGATTAGTAGCATCACATCTGCTTCTAAGTCTGACAGAGGTTCATTTTCTTCACAAGCTCTAAATACCTTTGTGAGGGTCTGGGAATGAGGGTGTCTGTCTTCTATATTGAAAGTAGAACTTCATACATTGGAAAATGTCTTCCCATTTAAAGTCGTCCAATCCAGTAAGGTGGGTCACCACGCAGGCTGGCCACATTATGGTGGGAGCCAACTAAGACTCTCATTACTATTTTCATGCACATCAAATGCACTATTTCTTATGTTTATCTTTGCTGTGGACTCTTAATAGTCCTTATATTTTTTCCTTCACTGATTTCAAGTCGTACACTTTATTAACATGCTTAAAGTTATGCTTTACTTCCAAGCATCATACTTAAGAAAGTATTAAAAGGACTATAAAAAGTAATTTTAACAAAAATGGGAAAGGAAGAGTCTTAATGGACCATCCCTCACCTAAAAATAAAAATGTGGTTAAAACTACCAAAACCAACTTTATCAGAACTCTGAAAAATATTCAAGGCCAAATGCAGAAGAGTGCAATTGAATCTTTATATCTCACCATATAAAAAATTTCTCAGTCATATCTGGGAGCTAAATATTAAAACAATGGATCTCATGGAGACAGAGAGTAGAATGATGGTTACCAGACTCTGGGAAGGAGAGCAAGGATAGGGAAAAAGTGAGGTGGTTAATGGGTACAAAAATATAGTTAAGTACAATGAACAATATTTATTAGCACAACAAAATGACTATAGTCAACAGTAAGTTATGGTATACTATAAAAGAACTAAACAAGTAGAATTGGAATGTTCCTAACACAAAGAAATGATAAATGCTTCAGGTGATAGATACTGTAATTACCCTGATTTGGTTATTACACATGGTATGCCTATATCAAAAGATCACATATACCCTATAAATGTAGAAAGCTATTATATACACATAATAATGAAAAATTGTAAGTTGTTAAAAAATAATAAAATGTTTACCATGAACCAGGCTCCAAAGACAGATGACACAGATGTAAATGAAAGATTTATTATTCCTGTCCTAAATATGCCAGGGCTAAAATGAATAGAAGCATTCAAGAAATACAGCTTCCTAATGTGAAATAGAGATTCCCAACCCTTGATGTGCATACATATCACCTAAGCATCTGGCCAAAGGTAAGGCTCTGTTTTAGTAGTTCTGAGGAAGATTCTGGGAATCTGCATTAGTATCAGGCTTCCAGGTAATGCTAATAGCATTGAGGAGGCAAATAACTGTTAATAGACATTCTCAGAATTACACAATATAAAAATATTTCCTTTCTCTAAATGCAGTGAATTTCATCCTTTGTATTTGTAGGTCTGGAGGACCTGGTGCTGACCTATATTAATGGCATTAGCACTGGGGATCTGTCCTGCTTGAAGAATGTAGTCCTGGCCTTGGCCTGGATGGAGAATTTAGATATAATGCAAAAGGTTCTTATCTACCATGAACAGCCAGAAAGTGCAGCTTATCACAGAAATCTCATTGGAGCTGCCAGACCTACATAGAGCCAAGGAGAGAGAGGCCATCAAAGTCTGTTAGGAGTCCTTCAAAGATGTAGATCATTAGGACACTGACTTGCAATTAACAATAAATAAATGAATGAATAAAATGTAGATCATTTATTTCAAAAGGATTACTGGTAATATATACTCAAGTTTACATGGGATTAGATGTCGCTATGTCTTGAATATGGCCCTCAACGTTTATGTATTGGAAACTTAATTCCAAATGCAACAATGTTGAGATGTGGGAAGTAAACCTCTCTTCTTAAAAATTGCCCAGTCTCAGTTATTCTGGTATGGCAGAGCAAAGACTAAAACAGATAGCAAAGTACTATTAAGAAATGAAATGAGTATTTCTTTTGAAAGAAACAATTCTTGCTAGATGTTGAATTTGCAACTCCCTATTTGTAATCATAATAATCAGAAGAAAAAATGTATTACATGGATTCAAGGTTTTGAAACATGCTCTATTTAATTCATGAACTAATAGTGTTGCCTTTAATTAAAGAAATACATGTGGCAAATAGAGCTGATGATACTTTGATTACATACCTACTATTATCAGACTAATTTGCTATCACACTAAACAAAAGCAAAGAAATATATAGTTTTAGTTTTCTGTAGCAGGCTCACAATATGCCACATCTATTCCATTCATAGCTATCTTTAGTTTGATTATTTTGAAAAGCAGAAATTTACATACATAAGTGTGGCATAAAACTAGGAATCTATGCTGTGAACATCATCTCCAAGGAGAAAACAACTTTAGAAAATAGTTTGAGTCAAGAGAAAGGATACAATTTTGTTGAATTGTCTGTAAATTTTTGGGTACATGGAGTTTTTGAGAAGCATTTTCAGAATGCTCATCATAGCATCAAAAGAATCTGGCAGGGTGCCAGGCACATATTAAATGCTCCACCCCATATATAACTTTTAACAAATGCATCAACATTGTTTTTTTTGTTTTGTTTTTTTTTTGAGACAGGATCTCACTCTGTCACCCAGGCCAGAGTGTAGTGGCATTATCAT